ATTAAAAAACTTACTTGTTTAATGAGATGGTATTACCTACGCGGACCCCTGGTTGGGAACCACTGTATTATACTATCGAAAACAAAACAAAACAAGATGCTAAGTTAAAGCTTTGCTTTTTTTCCATAGTAAGAATTGTCGAAATATAGTCACGCAAATAGGATTAACGTTGTTTTTTCTTATCTTCTCTATATAAATTTTTTATGCCTAAGGTTATTTAAAGGCATATCTTAATTATTTATTGAAAACTGTAAATGGATATTCAAGGGATAAACGAAGTTATTCAGAAAGAAACAATTGAGAATGGTGAAAATGATCCATATTATTAGTGCTTCAATTATTCTGATTATAGAAAAAACGTACTTATATAGCTCATTATTTATCTAGTCACACAACAGAAAAAAAATATACTAATATTTGTGTTTATAATTTTCTTTAACAAAAGCTTTTATACTTTCAGTAAATGGTTGAGTGTTACTGGCCAGCCACCCGGGCGTAAAAGTTCTTGGCTTATAAAAATTACTGGCCGACCACAAACTATTGGGATCACGATCGTAAAAGAAAAAGTAAATGCTTGATTGTTATATTTATGTAGGATAGTTATGGCGACTGATTGTAGAAGCAAAGATTACTTAACTTACAATGAAAGCTTATCAGATCAAAGGGATAAAAAATCGAAAACTTCGACGTCCTGGGAAGTTTATGTAACTGTGATTAGAAAAAGAGATAGTTTCACAAAATGTTTATATACACACAGAAAGGGATCTATTACAGGTAGTTGTCGACACAGGCGATACGGTTTATTTTCTTTTCCCACAGCAAAGCGTGAGCATGTTTGTCCACTGAGAAGTCGAAATTGGTATTTTCATAAAACTTAATAACCCAGGAAACTACGAGAAACGTGGCAGCATTGGTAGGAAACGCTCTAAGAAGAGTAGAATTTAGACCACGTGTGAAGACTCTCCAGCCCTCTTGTTGGTAGCCTTTCACCGCACAATCTAAAATGCCTTTATACTGGCGTGGACCGAAGATTCCGTCGGCTTGTAGTCTTGATTTCACCAAGTCCATCGGGTAAGTGACCACCCAGGAAAAGGTGCCTGCCAAGCCTCCAGCCATCAGCAAACCACAAGTATTAATATTATTTCCAGCGTCCGAAAAGAAACGGACAAGAACTTCATATGCTCCAAAGCAAGCTGCAAATCCTGGTGCATCCCTGAGAACTGTACATCCAAGGCCTCTAAAAATGCCACGTGCGCCTTCCATACGGAATGATTTTACCAGGCAGTCCAAAGGACTGCTGTACGAGTACAACAGTTTAGTGGAATGAAGAAATCGCGTTTTGACTGCGCGTTGCCCTTGTAGCTGCATTCTAGTCTTAGCCAACTCCATTGGGCTACAGATAATACTTTGAATGGTTCCTGCCGCCGCTCCGGCAATCATATGGCTCGTGATGGAATCAGGATCGGAAAGAGACCGTTGTACATTGCCTTGTACACCAAAAACGATAGCATTGATGAAGGCAAGGCTACACATTGGAGAAGACATTCCCTTGTAGAGGCCACCGATCTAAATAAAAAAACAAAAAAAACAACAGATAAATGAGTGGATCATAAAAACAAAAATATATTCAATCTACATTGTTAATAAAAATTACAAAAAATAAAAGCATTAAGAATTCTATCAAAATGTTGGTTTCAAAAACATTTGTTTTCACGTACTAATGACTAAATAATATTTTGCACATAATTAATATTCTTTGCTATTAGTGACTGTAATTTAATGTATGAAAATGTATAATTATTTAGCGTAGTTAACAGTTTTGTTTTTGGAAATGGAAGTTCAAAACGTGGGATACATAAGAATATTAGTACTGTCCTTCAGAGAAAAAACAAGTATTACATTAGCCAGTCTGAAGTATTGCAAAAACCATACAAAATAAGTTACTTTCCAATAACTTGATTTTTAACAGTATGTTAATAAAATACTAACAATACGGCGTTTAACCTACCGATTCTTTTTTAACTATGGAAGAAAAACAATGGAAGGTTCCTCTATAGAGAGGTTTGCTGGCATCTTGTGTTTGAAGACGAACCTAGAAAAAAAAAGAAGGTTAATCTAAATGTTTGTAATGAAAACAACATAAACACAAACACCAGTGCTAATGACAATTGGCAAATATCATGATCTATAATATTTAATCATTAGATCATCCGTGATACGTTAAATACAAATATTTATTATTTATTAAAAACATTTATTTTCTGTTGTGTTCTTTTCATTTCCAATTTTAACTAAATAGTCTTGACCATTACCAAAAAAAATTAAACCGGCAAAAAAAAAACAAAAAAAAACGCAATCATCATATTAAAACTGAATTTATTGCACATGAAACAGTTTTTGAATATCCATAAAATGTGTTTTTGATCAAATTACTTAAGTTTATAGAAACACACAAACACTCATATATATATATATATATATATATATATATATATACTCCCCCCCAAAAAGAAAAAAAGAGAGGTTAATCTTGGTAAATATTTGTATCATTTTCTCGTACGCACAGTCCTACGTCATAATGCAGTTTTAAATATACTTTCCTTGCTTAATTTAATAAAGCTCGATTACAAAATGTTTTTCGCTCGTTAGTATTATTTATACAACTATTTACAATCACTAAAAGATCTTAAAAAATTAATCAGTATAATTATATACAGAGTGATATAATGAGGTGACGAAAACATACACAAATATCGTAATTCAAAGATTCTAAAATATACACGTCCTTGATTCAAGAAATATGAAGGGGGATAGTTTACCCTTAGGATTTATAAGGAGGGGAAAAAGGTGCGTATTACGTAAGCTGTCACGCACCAAAATATCAGCATATTTATCAACGATCTTGCTTATTTAAATGTAAACTCTTACTATTTTGATGTCTCAAATGAAAATTGAGAAGCTAAACTCAGCAAAAGACCATGAACTTTATCCTCATTTTAAACAAACTGTGAGAGCCGCTTAAGGATCAGGAAGAGCATGTGATATGTCAATCATGAATTCTAAATAAAGAAATTTTTCCTGAAGTTTTGATAAACACTGATATCTGAGAAGAGCGTTAGTAGGGATGTCATGACCCCGCAGTTCATTTTAGAAAAGTAACATGATATCATGCTAATAAATTTTGTTTTTTGTTTTTTTTTCCAGGATATTGATTTGCTGGAGTTATATTTTTATTTTACTCACTCTTTAACTTTATTGGACAGAATTAATTTGTATGTAAATATTTTACACTATAGTATAATATGTACCATACATAGTTTCATTGTTTTAAATCCATCGCAGCAATGATGTATTTAAATAATTAAAACATATGGTGAATGTGTTCATATTTTGATTTAAAACAAACGAGAAATCTGGCATTCAAACTTCACCTAATAAAATCTATTTTATCAAACGAGATAAATCAATTCATGCTATCCTCCGGTGGGTCCGCGGTATTTTACGCATTTACAACGCTAAAATCAGGTGTTCTATTTCCCGCGGCGGACGGAGTGCAGATAGCCCATTGTGTTGCTTTGCAATTTCACACGATATTAATTTATCTTTGATATATATTTAAGGCCTCATAAAACATCCAATGACCACCGACTTACAAGTAAACTCACTAACATATATTTATCAGAAAACTAACTTCAAACAGTTTTTTTTTGCGGTAACGACGTTCAGGCTTAAGTTCGTGCCACAGTCTGCAATATCCGCAAAACACCCTCTTAGTATTAAACATTATATCACCTGTTAGTTCAAATAATTGTAAAATATTTTTAGTTCTTCCTAAAGTTATTGGAGAAAAATCACTAATAACAGAAGTTCGCCAAAACCGTTGTGGTTAGATAGTTTAAAGGTAACAAAAAATTAGAGAATAAAACTTATCTTAAAAATAAATGGTAACTAAAAAACAAAAAAATCTTAATTCTAAAATACGCCTTTTTTCATGTAGGGGCAAATCAAAATTAACATGTAACATAGACCTACGTACGTACTTACAGTTACACATATTATTTGTGCTTATAAAAGTTTTCTTTTTTAAAATATATTATAAATTACGACTGTCTTAATTACCTTGACAGTGTCAAATGGATGGCCTACTAGAACTCCAGCACAACCTAGAATAGCAAAACACATATTCCCAATAAATTTTTGAAAAGAGTTATTCACCAGTATATCACATAAAACAATGTATTTATTCTGTTGTAAAGTTCCAGAAGCCGAAAAAAAGTCATTTATAGGTTCCTGCCCTAAGCAAGAACTTAAAACATGCACAGTGATAACATCAACACATTATAGAACCAAAATAACAATAAATAATTCAAATAGCTTTAAAGAAAGTTGCTTATATACAACTGGAAGCCAAAAACAAAATATAAATCATGATAACAAATGTGCATAGTAGCCTCAAGTTTATTTTCTGCTTTATGCAACGTAAAAAAAAAAGAATATATATATACTATATGGAGAGAGTTCCTAATAATACTTTTAACGTTGTATGTAGCAATATACAAATAAGGCTTCCGTATAGTTATTCTTTGTTCCGACTAGAAAAAGCTAGTGTGAAGAGATTTGTAACTGGATAATCCGGTTGGATGATATCCTTTCCGCTAGGTTAACTGGCGAACTTCCAGATTTGATGCAATAAAAAATATGCTGCTCTCAAGTTGTTTTCAACAATGTGGTGCTGTTAAGTAATCATGCAAATGCTAGCAAACTCTGGTGATTCAAAAATAGTGCACAAGCCTGGAAACACTAATCTCTATTAATCACTATTGCTTGAGACAGTATTCAATGAAAGAATGGCTGATCTGAAACATATCGGGTAAAATGTCCTTGACCAATAGTTTAAAGGAAAATATTCCTTAAATAGCTGGTAACTATCGGCAACAAGAAAACATTATCTCGTACTTAGCTATATTTTGCTTATTTCAATAAATGTATAAAAATCTGGAATTGTCAATAACTTTTTCTAGTTTGGCGTTCTCAAAATATGGAGTCATGTGACTATGAACTGTAAAATACGAGAGCTAGACAATTGTACATCTGGAAGTTTCCACTTAAAACGTATCACGTGCTCACTGTGTGCGACTTTCTAGCTGCTAATAGAATCCTTATCAGAAAAAAATAATGTTTTGAAGATTTATCCTAATTATTTTCTATGGCATATTACATTATTGAAACTTATTTCAATAAATATTATCGTTTTCAAATCAAGTTTTATGTAAGTTTTCATTTAATAGTAAATCATGATAGCATAAATAAATAAAGTTATTTAATGGAAAATAATGTTCGTGAAAAACACACAACAAAGTTGTACTTTGCAACAGTGTTTTAGAACAGCCTTTGCATCCTAACCTAGCATCTGTCACACGGTGACAATTAACAATAAGCTGATGGCATTGTTGTTGTTAAACTTAAACTTTTAAGGGGACATTTCTAACTTTACGAATAGGCTCACTGGATTTTTATATATCAAATGTAAACAACTAATAGAAAACCAAAGTCATTTCAGTAGAACTGTAGATAGAGTAGAATAAAACGTTTCAAAATTCTAATGGACAGCAACTGCCTGTTGAAAGAAAAAGGAGAGATCGAAGCGGAGACATTGTCTCCCTTTCTTTCAACAGGCAGTTGAGTCCATTAGTTTTCAAAACTAGTTATCAGACTCTAATGTTGAGACTGATTTATTCAAGATGAATAATAAGTATTTATACAATAAAAAACACTATCACTTGTTCAAACTGCAGAAAATTAAATGCCTAAAATCATAAAACATCATTGAAACTAATAACTTACCTCCTAAACAACCTGCTACAAAATCCAAAGCCATCGAAGACGTTAGTTGTGGATTTCAAACTTTAAATAATTATAATTTAAGGAGAAAAATGGAATGTATGCTTGGTTTTCTCTAGATTTATAAATATATATTAAAATTGAAAATCTTGACTAAAATAATTACGTTGAAGATCTGATCACGATACGAATATATTCTTATAGCTTGTACCATTTGAACATATTTCGAGCAATCTCAATGACTAAACTGCTCCCGCTATGTCGTGTCAATTACCTAAATATGAATCCAGAAGCAGCAGTGATGTGAGTATATGTTCCGTTTGTATACATTTTTATTGGTTGAGCAAGGAGGATCGTCAGACAGCGAAAAAGAGCCGTGTGCAAAATAAATTCTGCCATACAAGTTTATTTTTAGATAGAACTTTTTTTTTTATCAGTTATAAGTGAAATCTTGATTCTTTACGATAACGAATAAATAATTAATGAAATAGTTGGTATTTTCGTGTGAAACATGTCATACTTTAAAAAAATGGGGGATTTTAATGGTTTAAGTTGTGTACATTCTTAAATGTAAAAGTTATAGAAGTTATTTCGCAATCCACATTTGAGAACGAAAAGATACGTTGGCGTCGAGAACATTCACTACATATTTTTTTGAAATACTGATCACAAATATAAAAAAAAAGAAACTCATGAAAAGTTATGACACAATTTTATGGTTCAAAAGATGTTTTTTCTCTAAATATCCGAAAAGCGAAACGATTTGTCTGAAAAAACAAGTATTTACATTCAATTGGTGGATGATGCATGTGATACCTTAGTGTGCACGTGGAAGCATGCCCGTAAAGCTAAAAATAGATTTGAAAACAGAGCGTGATATAAAGGCAAATAAAAAGGAATCTGTTGTTGACGGTGAAAGTAATCTATCTGTCTGTATACAGTCGTAAGAGAACGTTTTATCTCTAGAATTTCTATAATGATTCATAATGTATATCTATAAGCCCATAAGTGAAAATAATGTTATAATATATTATCCACACTACATATGCTGTATTTACTGTCGACGAGGACTTCGTCTAATACCGGGGCTCATAAGGCCAGCTGGGATACAACAGACACAGCAGTATATATATATACATATATCATTACTTTACATGAACAATAACAATTATGGTGTGAACTAGATTACTTAAGTGAACTACAATTATAATAAATATTATTTCCTCGAAATAGGACCGAAAGCCACCTGTTTTAACCACTGGCACCAGGGTGGTATGTTGTCAGTCAGTCAGTTGACACTAAAATCATGTTACAATTTGTACTGTCGTGACGTCAGTAAAGCGTGCGCATGCCATATGTCACAAGAAGAATTATGTACTTTGTAAGCTACATTAAAGCATGACATACGAACTTAAAAATCAAGAAATAAAAGTATATGTTACTTTTAATTTTGGTTTTATTCACCCGTGAAACAGAACACTTTTAGGGGCCCTGCGGAAGTACACCTGGTTTTATATTACGATTGATCCCAAATAAAGATTGAATAACAACACTTTCGAACACTTAAGCACTACCACACTATTTGAGTTATATACCATCTGCTAATCTTATTATTACTCTGTTAATTTTGATTTTAAGTATGACTTTAAATACATAAAATACTAGGTTTCTTAGATAAAAATTAAAAAGATTTTGTTGTTTATAGTTAGCTTTACTTTTATAACTCTTGAGTCTGATTAGTAACTTTTGTCTCTTGAATCTGATTCAATTTCCATAACTGTGATAGCTCTTATAATGGAATTGAATCATATTTGATAGCCATAACAAATAAAGAAATTAAATTGATTTGAAGAGTTGTAAGAAGAGAATAAATTTTACTTACTATGATTCAGCTTCCTTACATCTCATACCTTTCGATCATTATTCAGTTTGTTTTTTTATAAAACTTAAAAAACCTGATTCAGCATCATAAATTTCACTAGCTCTTGAATTTCAGTTTTTTCATTTCTCTTGTGCCTTTTTTTTTACTTCTTATAGCACTTGAGCCTGTCAGACTTAGCTTTTCTATACTTCTTATACAGGTAGTTCTTGAAAGTGGTTTATTTTCTATTACAACCCTTGAACCTGTACTCCTATAGCTTAAAATGTAATTCAGATTTTAACTTTTTATAGCTGCTGAACATCATTCAAGTTTTTGTTTTACAACTGTTTCAGCTGATTCAGTTCTTTACTTATTATAGTATTCAAATCTGATTCAGTTTTGTTATTTCTTATGAATCACAATTTTTTTTTAGTTTCTCTATTTTTTTAATTATTTGCAAAATCTTATTTTTTTTTACTTTTCATATTTCTTCATGTCTAGTAGTGGGCAGGTATGGTACAGTAGTTAGCTTGCTTGGACTGTAAATCTGATGGTTCATGGCCCATTACCTCAAAAATGCACTCTTTGTAGCCAGAGATGTGCTGTAAGAATGACAGTCAAATCCTATTAGGTGGTCAGACACAAGAATAGCCTAAAAGTTGGTGGTAGATGTAGTTGACTAGATGCTTTCCCTCTTTTCTATCACCTAAAAATTAGGAATGCTATATGCAGATAGTCTCTGTGTAGCTTTCAGCAAAAACCAAAAAAAAAAACTTCTGCTATTTCTTGTCACATTTGTACATAATTCAGTTACTGAACTTCTAATAACTTGCAAACCTATTACAGTTTTTGTTCTTCTTATATCACTTGAACCTGATTGTTTCATTAGTTCTTATAGAACTTGAGAGTGGTTGCATTTCTTTATTCTTTATATTTTCACTTTTTACTTGTGATACATCTTGTACCTTATCCTGTATCAATGCTTTTTACAGCTCTTGAAAATGATTCAGCTTCTTTACATCTTATCTCTTGAACATAATTTGGATATTATTTATACTTCTTGAACCTGATATAGCTTATTTACTTCTTTAACCTGGTTATGTTTATTTACTTTTTACACCTCTTGAAAAACATTCTGTTTACTTTTCATTACTCTTGAACACAACTCAATTTTTTAAACTTTAAATAGCAAATAAAATTCAGTTTCCTTCCATCTGAAACCTGATCCTTTTCTGTTACTGTCTATAAATCTTGAATATGATTCACTTTCTTTACATTTTATAAATTCCAAATGCACTTCTTTAAGTCTTTTAACTCTTGAACTTGATTTAGTATCATTTCTTTTTATAGTTATTGAAAATTATTAATCTTCTTTATTTCTTACAGATCTTGAGGATAAATATGGAAATATGAAGTAGGTTCCATAAATCAGTGAACCTCACAAAATTATTATATTCATGATTGATAAGAGAGAAAAAATTGAATCATATACAAGATTTGCAAGAAGGAAATAAGCTGAAAAAAGTTTGAGATTTAATAAAAGTATAGAAATTATTTTGGTTAAAGAGCTTTAAAATATAAAAAATAATAATTAGGTTCAAAATTTATAAGAGCTATTGAAACTTAATCAGGTGCAAAAGTGAAAAAAAGTAAATTAGGCTGGTCGAAGAGTTGTAACAAATAACAATACTGATTCAAGGTCAACATCTGTACAATTAGAGGTTCAAAAGCTATAAAAAATAAACAAATTAAGTTTTAAAGCTATATAAATTAGAAAGTTCTAAAAAGTAAAGAAAATTAATTAGTTTAAAGATATATAGAAAGTAATGAAACTGAATAAAATAAAAAACTGTAAGAAATACAAAAACTATTTTTTAAAAGTTATAAAAATTAAAAAGATGAATCAGGTTGAAGAGCAGAGGGAGTAATAATTACTGAGCAAAACTCAATATGCATGAGAAGAAAAGATTCTTAATCAGGTTCAAGAATCATATCAAGTACAAAAGTTTAGTAAGGTTCAAAATCTGCAAAAAGTAACAATACCAATGAGGGTTACAGAAAAACATTTTAAAAAATCAGAATCAAGTTCAAGACCTATAAAGTATAGAAACATGATATATTCATGACTAATAAAAAGTACAGAAGTTGAATAAAGCTCAAGAATTACAATAATTAAATAAATGAATCAGGTCCAAGAACTATAAAGAAATGGGTAAGTAATGAGACTAAATAAAGTTCAATAATTATAAGTAGTAGATTTAATCTGGTTCAACACAAGTTACTGAAAATCTATTTAGTTCAAAATCTACAAGTAAAGAAACTGATTCAGATACAAAGTTATTAAAAGTAAAGAAGCTGATTTAGCTTCAAGAGGAATACAGAGTGAAAAACTGAGTTACGTTCAAAAGATATAAGAAGCAAAGAAACTGAATCGGGACCAAGACCTATAAAACATCATGAAATGGAATTAGATTCAAGAGGTATAAGAAGTAAGAAAAATGAATGAGGTGAAAGTTATAAAAAGAAAACAATCAGGTCCAAGTGCATAAAGAATAAAATAAATGAATCATTTCAAGAACTCTAAAAATTAACTTTACTCAATCAAGTTTATGTACTGAAAGATATAAAGACACAATATATAAAACAATTGAGTAAGTGTAAAGAGTTATAACAATAAAATGTAATTCAGGTTGAACAGTTGTACGAAGTAATGATAATGAATCAGGCTTTGGAACCATAAAGAGTAAAGAAATCAGATCCAAAGGAATGCAGGATCTGTAGCTCTAAAAAATAAAATACAGATTCGAATCCTAAATCAATATGAAGTATAGAAATTAAATCAGGAGCAAGAGGTATGAAAAATTACAAAAAAATGAAACAGGTTCCCGAGGGCTAAAGAAGCAATAAAACTAAATATATTTATAGTATTATAAGAAGTTAAGAAACTGAATATGGTTGACTATAATAATACAGAAAGTCAAGTTGTCTCAAAATGTATAAGAAAATAAACTGAATCACATTCAAGAAGAGTAAGAAGTAACCATACCGTGTAAAGTTCAAGAACTATAAGGAGTAAAGAAATCAAACAAAGTTGAAAAGTTACACGAAATGTAGAAATGTTATCATACCAATGATTTATAAAATATAAAGAAACCAGAACAGGTTCAAGAGTGGTCATAGAAGCTTTTTGCAGTTTTTCTGTTGCTCATAATTAAGATTATTTATTATTAATACCTTTTAGCAACTCTTCTGGTTGAAGTTATTACATAATAAGTAGAGAACTGAATAAGGCCCAAGAGCTATAAAAAGTAAGAGAAATTAGTAAGACTGAAGAAATGTCAGAAGTAGTGGAACTGAATAAAGTTCAACAAATATAAAAAATACAGAAACTCAATCTGGTTCAATATATGAACTACAAAA